AGCCCGAGACAACCCAAATTGGGTATATTCAGGATTTAGCGGGATCAACAACATGCAGAAGCCTTATCCGACGGTTCAACACCCCCGCCCCCGGGCTGCAGCAAAATTTTCCAAGTCTTCACAGGTCTGTGGTAATAAAAAGGTTGGGGACCACTGCTCTAATCGATCTGAAGAAACAATAGGTTGAGGTGTATGCATTTTTGTTCCCACCCTTTTGCCCAACTTAGTTTTTTCATTTAGTTCATAAGTTCACTTTTTGCTTGAACTACAGGAGCACATTATTTGAAACTGTAACATAATCCTGTATGTTTTTGCATTTTTTTAGGGGTTATTTTACTTCTCCTGGATCGGTTACGGAAGGTCAGATGGGAGCAGATGTGGAGACTGACTGCAGAAAGAGAACTAATGAGCATGCTGTCCACCTCATTGGCAGACCAGGTTACATTAATACAGATTCTATTCTGCACCTGCACAAATTTGTTTATTATTTTTAAAATGTTTTTAAAAAAATTTATGGCTAATCTGACAAATGTTGGAAATATGTATAATTTCAGCATAAACTGAAATATGCTCAATTAATCCTAAAAAGACACCGTAAAACAATTTGAAAGCGGTTTAACATGAAAAATGAAAGTCCACCTGCTGCCCAACAAGAAAATTGTATTGGTTTTAACTCAGAAATTAAAGTTCATGAAGTCGGTTTAAAAACAAGAGACAAGTTGTCTAAACATTGTTTTTTAAGTTCATTAATCTTGAATTGAGTTTTAACTTAATGCTGCAATTTAAACCAATTATTTCACAATATGCAAGAAAAAAAACTGCCCTCACCTAGTTAAAGAGCACACATTTCTCTATTATTTTCACTCATAATTGTAACGAAAAGCGAAATTAGCCAGAACCCAAAACGCAGCCAACACCAGAGTTGGTTCACAAAATGTCTTTATTACAAAAATAAAGGTAAGGGGCTAAGCAGGGAGTAGTCAGGCTAGTGGGTCAGGAAGGGGGAGGTCCACTGGGGTCAGGGATCCAGCCAGGGAGGGGTAAGGTGGATGGGCAAAGGGAGGACTAGAGGGCTCAGGGGACAAACAGATGACAGGGACAAATTCCACAAACCAGAGGCTGTCATGGGACAATCCAGGTTCATTCATGGGAGGGCCACAGGCAATGAAGATCCAGAAATCAGAAAAACTTGAAGCAAGGTCAGAGTCAGGCAGGGTTCATCAACAGTAGGTCAGAACTCCTCCAGCAGCCAAAGGACAAGGCAAAATCTGTGGTCAAAAAACAGGCAGGATCAGAAAACCAGAAAACTTTGAAACATGAGACAAGGCTTGAAAGCTGTGACTCCAGCAACAGACGATCTCGCACTGAGCTGGTGACGAGCAGTTGTTTAAATAGGGCACAGCACAGGTGAGGGTAATGAGCAATCAGCACAGTCAAGGTGGAACTGAGGGGCTGAGATCATGACAACATCAAGTTAATAATAACTATTTTACTTTAGAATTATTTAAATTCTCATTTCAAATTGCACAAACATAATTTCTGATTTGTTAGTGAATTTTATTAAACCTCACAATAAATTATGTTTAAAAACATTTAGTGTGATCCGGACATTATGCTCAAGCTTTACAAACTGAGACTTGTATTATAATACCATACCAACTTTATTTATAAAGCACTTTAAAACAACCACAGCTGATACAAAGTGCTGTACATTAAAACACAACATAAAAAAAAACATAAAACAAAAACATACAATTTAAAACTAGATCCCGCTAGAGTTGAAAGCCAAGTAAAATAGATGGGTTTTAAGACGAGCTTTAAAGTGGACAGTGAAGGGGCCTCTCTGACTTGCAAAGGCAAGTTGTTCCATAATTTGGGGCCCATGACAGAGAAAGCCCTGTCCCCTCTGAGCTTCCTTCTTGACCTCGGTACCTCCAAAAGCAGCTGATCTGCGGACCTAAGAGACCGATAAGGTATGTATGGGTGAAGAAGCTCAGAGAGGTAAGCCGGGGTGATTTAAAAACAAACATAAGAATTTTAAAATGAATCCTAAAATATACAGGCAGCCAGTGAAGTGAGGCCAGGACAGGGGTCACGTGTTCCCTCTTTCGAGTTCCTGTCAAAAGTCGTGCAGCAGCATTCTGAACCAGCTGCAGACGTGAGAGCAGCGACTGACTGACTCCCAGATAAAGTGAGTTACAGTAATCCAGTCGAGTCGAAATAAAAGCCTGGATCACTGTTTCAAAATGCTGCCTGGAAAGAAAAGATTTCACTGATGCCAATCGCCTTAAATGATAAAAACTGGACTTAATCACGGCTCTGATTTGGCTGTCCAATTTGAAATCACTGTCCACCTTAAAACCAAGATTAGTAATAACAGGTTTAAAGTAAACCTCCAAGGGTCCCAGGTCAACAGAGGAGGACTCACAGGAGCCACTGGGTCCAAACACCATCACCTCTGTTTTGTTTTCATTAAAATTTATAAAGTTCAAGGCCAACCAAGCTTTAATATCACCTAGACATACCAGGAGATGTTTGATAGAATGTACATCCTTTTGCTTCAGAGGCAAATAAATCTGACAATCATCAGCGTAACAATGAAACGAAATCCCATGTTTCCTGAGGACAGAACCCAGAGGCAGTAAATAAAGAGAGAAAAGCAGTGGGCCCAGAATTGAGCCCTGCGGGACACCATAAGGCATTGAAGCAGCAGATGATTCAGAGTCACTAATTTTGACTGAAATTGTTCTCTCCTCCAGGTAAGACCTGAACCATTTAAGAACAGTGCCATCAATACCTACAACGTGATGTAATCGCGATATTAAAATGTCGTGGTCTATTGTATCAAAGGCAGCAGTTAGGTCAAGTAAAATCAGAACAACATGGTTACCAAAATCACACGTTTTTAATAAGAGTCATTAAAAACTCTTATTAAAGCAGATTCTGTGCTATGAAGAGTTTTAAAACCTGACTGGAAAACCTCCAGAATGCCATTCTCATCTAAAAACTGTTTCAGCTGACAGTACACAATTTTTTCTAAAACCTTAGAAAGAAAAGGCAGCTTCGAAATAGGCCGATAATTAGCCAGAACAGTCGAATCAAGGCCAGGTTTTTTAAGCAGTGGCTGCACTACTGCATGTTTAAAACTAGCAGGGACCACACCTGAGGACAGACTGCTATTTATAATTGCAAGAACAGGCTGCCCTATGCTAGATAAAATATCTTTAAAAATCGTGGAGGGACAGGATTACAGGGGGAACCTGATGGCTTAATATGGCCAACCGCGTCCTCTAAAAGTGAGACAGTCACAGGCTCAAACTGATTGAAAGCAGCCGAGCAAGGGACCAAAACAGAGGGGTCAGAGTCAGGAGCTGTGATAAGAGCCCTGGTACTACCAACCTTTTCAATAAAAAAATGCAGAAAATCATCACACACATCAGGAGAAGCTTCCAAACAGGCATTCTGTGGAATATTAAGCACAGAGTCAATTGTGTTCAATAAAATACGTGGGTTATGGCTGTTTGAGAGAATGATATTTGCCAAATGTTCCCTTTTTGCCTCTTTAACCGTGCTCTGGTAGAGACGCCAACAGTCTTTTAAAATCTGAAAAGTAACCTGCAATTTATCCTTTTTCCACCTGCGTTCAACACGGCGACATTCCTTCCTTGCAGCACGAGTTCTGTCATTAAACCAAGGCTCAGGTTTAATCCTTGGCTGCCTGGTTTTTAATGGAGCAACCGAGTCCAGGATGGTTTGGGAGGAAGAATAGAACCAGGACCAGAGCTCTTCTGTATCAGAGTGGAGGAAGTCAGATGATCCACAGAGCTGAAGAAAAGCAGTAGAGAACTGAGTGGCAGTGGAAGGGTTAATAATCCGACAGCGCCGAACAGCAGCGCGAGTTTTAACTGCGGTAGGTGTCAAACTGACACTGAATAAAACAGGCAGGTGATCCGAGAACACAGAGTCACAGATTTCCAGGTTAGTCGCAGGCAGACCGCAGGAAATGACCAGGTCCAGTGTGTGTCCGTGCTCATGTGTTGGGCTGGATACGACCAGTACCAGGTTAAAAGAGTCCAGAAGGCTTAAAAAGTCCTTTACCAGAGGTTTATCAGGACAACACACGTGTATATTGAAGTCTCCAACAATAAGAACATGTTCATAGTTAGTTATAATCCCAGATAAAAAGTCAGAGAAGTCGCTTATAAAATCCTTATTATATTTGGGGGGCCGGTAGACGACAGCACAGAAAACTGGGTTTACGTGTCTCATCTCAAATGACATAAACTCAAATCTGGGGAAAGACGTCTGTAGAAAACACTGCTTACATCTGTAGTCCCGTTTGCAAACAGTCGCTGTGCCTCCGCCTCTCCCCGAAGCCCGTGGTGAGTTAAAATAAGAACAGTCCGCTGGTAAAAGCTCAGTTAGAGCACTGGACTCACCAACACTCAGCCACGTCTCAGTCACACATAAAAAATCCAGGTTTTGGTGACTAAAAAAGTCCCGAAGAATAAAAGTTTTATTCGCAAGCGACCTGGCGACCAGACCAATCCTGACCTGACAGGAACTTGATCCTGGGCTTCGACAGGCCGGGAAACGAGGAGACGGGCACCAAGCAGACATCAACGGATCCAAGAAACGCCGAGGCACCCGAGAGCCCAGAAACGATCCTTGCGATGATCGAGTAAAAGCATAACAGTGCGTCATGTAAAACTTCAGCTTCACCAGCCGGCCGCTTCGTCTACCGCGACGACGACGACGTCTCCTCCGTGAAAGCAGCGCAGGAACCCGGAACAGGTGACTCGGAATCTCCGACAGAAGCGGGGGCAAGGATTGTTGGCCAACAACATCAAATAACATCATATCCTGGACCAAAGGTTGGAGGTCTAATAGTGTGTTGCGATCATACACCAGCAGAGACTCAGTTTCGTAGATGACACAGGTCAGAAACAGTACAAACATAATCAAACGAGAGAATGA